ATTCAGGGCGTGGGCAGTCTGTGCCCCTACGGAAATTCTTTGTCTTCGCTTGTCAGTTTTGCTCTCCAGGTGGCTATGCGCTCTAAGTGGCCGAGAGATCTCGCATCAAAAAGCGGCGGTGGTGAAGACCACAGGCCAAGTCATTCTTCTCGTGAGCTCAGCACCTCTCGCTTGCTTTTGCATGTATGCTTGTGCACCCAAGTGCGTATACCCTGATGGCCTTGTTTATTTTCATGTTTTCAAGGAGCTCGAAAACTTGGAAATAAACGAAGTTGCATGCGGAGCTCCCATTCTTGCCCTTTGTAGAGTGTTTAAATTCGGCGTGAGATATGACTATGCAAAAGTATATATATGTATATATATATATATATGTATATATATATGTATATATGTATACATATACATATATATATATATACATATTTCTATAGGACGAAATGTGCATTTTGTGTTTCTTATGCTTTGCGAGTGGTGGAAAGTTCTTGAGACCCGCTCATCACCCTGTTTTTCGCCATTCCTTTTGTGACTTAGTTTTTATGGCCTATGCTTTTGCTTTTGGAGGACCATCTCGGTAATGGCGTATGCGTTAATGCATTTATGTGCCTACTCTTCTGTCTTCTGAATGATTCACGCGGTACTGCGGCATATTAGTTTTGTTGGCGGATGTCCTCTCTCTTGCAATGCTGCTGTTTATTCTGAGTTTTCTCGCACGCTCCTTGTTGTTGTTAACAACGGCTCAGCTTTTGCTTGATGTCTTGCGCTTGCTGTTTTGTGCATACTTCCGGGTGTACACACACAGGAATGTTTGGAGAAGCTGGTCTTTGGAAAGAGGGGAGCTCTGACCTCTGGGGTAATTGAAAAAAAAGATACCGTGGCCCTCATCCCTGGAGGCACAGGTGCGGAGCCGCACGCAGCAGCATCAGCTTCCGTAACAGGAGCAGCAGCAGGAAACGGCAGAGCTTGTGAAGGCACCAGTAACAACGGTGACAGCGGCAGCACCACCATTAGCTGCAACAGGGATAGCGCTCGGGTGGGTTGGATTTGTTACTGCTGCTGCTGCTGTTGTGTTTGAACAGGTTTTAGCGCGCACAATAAGGTGGAAGTGGCAGTGGCACGGCCTAATGTGCAGTAGATTGGCAGTAGATGCGTGAGGACTTTTGTTTTGTTGTGTGTTACGTGGGGCTAAGCTCTTGTATCTCGATCTAGCGCTGAGTTACCCAAACCTCTCGCCGTCCGGCAGACTACAACAGTTATTTTTGGTCCACTTATCTTCCCTTTTTCTGCAGTTTCGTGTTGTGTATTCCTCGCGCACTTCTAACAGCACCTCATTCTTTTGCTACTGATGGTGCTGTTCTAACGCCGGGTACTTTTGCGACATCTAAATATTTGTACGGAGTTTACGTATCCACACACTACAGTATATTCATGCACGGATATATGCGCATGAATATCCCGGCACTTACATGTTTTGATTCACGAGGCCGCCGCCCTGTAGTTGGGTGGGGATTCCCTCAGTTAGCGCATATCACGTCGCTATCTTTGCCCGTATTCCTTATAAGGAAACGGTGCTAGCTAGCCGGCTAGCTAGCCAGCTTACTACGTACTGCAAACGCCTCTCATGCCTAGCGAGACAGGCGCCTCTGCGCCGGGCTGCAGAGCTGACAGTCCCTTCGGAGTTATTTTAGCTGCAGCGTCTGACGCTGTCTCTATTCTTTTGCTCGGATACAACATAAACCTGTAACCGCAGGGGACTAAGGCTGCCTAGCCAGCTAGCTCATTAGCCTTGGCGGGCTCGCTGGCTATGGCTGGCCAGCGAGCCACGGACTGCGGGGTAACGCGCTCCGAAGGAGCTCAATAATCCCCTCTACAACCAGCAACCCTCAAGGCACACAGTGCGTTACGACACTGCAGCCACCGCCCTTGGAGGCGCAGAACCGAGTCACAGAGGGCCCCCGGGGGGCGTCTGCGAGAGGCTGCGTGCTGAATAGGCTGACAGCTGCAGGGAGCGCCTTGCAGCTGCTGCTGTAACTGCTGCTGCCGATGCTGCTGCTGCTGAATCCTTTCGCGTTACTGCTGCTGCGGAGGAGGTCAGAACGACTCCCGCTCAGGGACCGGCTTTGCACGGCCAGGTGAGTGCTCTGGCTGGTGGCTGCGGCAGAAGGGCGCATATCAGCCGCAGCAGCAGCAACAACGAAGCGGCTGCTGCTTCGGCTGTGGCTATTGCCGTGGCGGCTGGAGCTGCTGGAGCGGAAGAGGGCCTTTAGGCTGCTGATGTGCACCAGCCTCTTTACAGGAGTACCCTTGCCATTGGAGCTGCTGCTGCTGCTGTGCTTGCTGCCTCTATGGGAGTGGAGAGATGACTGGGCCTGCACAGACAGCGGGAAACGTAAAGCAACACAAAAACGCATACCTCACTTAACCTTCCCGTTTGCTGTCAAGAAAAGAGGAATAACGCACGAAAACAGCAACAGCAGGGACAAGCAGGACG